CAGGTGTCCCCAGGTGTGCCCAGGTGAGCTCACCTGCAGCACCCAGCCCAGGGCGAAGTCGGGGTGCATGAACTCCACCAGGCGCAGCAGCAGCTCCAGGGTCCTCATGTCGCCCTCGAAGCGATCGCGCAGGTCCAGGTACTGCACCTGTGGGGGGGCGGGGTCACCTGGGCACACCTGGGCACACCTGGGTGTACCTAGGCACACCTGGATGCACCTGGGTACACCTGGGCACACCCAGGCACAGCTGGGTGTACCTGGGCACACCTGGGTGTACCTGGGTGTACCTGGGCACACCTGGGCACAGCTGGGTGTACCTGGGCACACCTGGGCACAGCTGGGCACACCTGGGCACACCTGTGCAGGTCTCACCTTGACGGCCACGGGGGTCCCGTCGGGGAGCGTGGCCCGGTGCACCTGGGCCAGGCTGGCGGCCGCCACCGGCTCGTAGTCGAAATCACGGAACATTCCGGAAGGCATGGTCTGGAAATCCTCCAGGAACAGCTCGTCCACCTGGGACAGGTGAGGGACAGGTGAGGGACAGGTGAGGGACAGGTGAGGGACAGGTGAGACAGGTGAGGGACAGGTGAGAGGTGAGGGACAGGTGAGGGACAGGTGAGACAGGTGAGGGACAGGTGAGGGACAGGTGAGTGACATTGGGGACAGGTGAAGTACAGGTGAGGACAAGTATGGTCAGGTGAGTACAGGTGCAGACAACTGACTACACCTGCAGACAGGTGAGCACAGGTGCAAACAGACACAGGTGAGCACACACAGGTGAGTACAGGTACAGACAGGTGACTACACCTGCACACAGCCACAGACAGGTGAGTGCAGATATGGACAGGTACAGACAGGTGTGCACAGATGAGCACAGGTGAGCACACCTCCAGACAGGCACAGACAGGCGAATACACCTGCACACAGGTACAGGCAGGTGAGCACACCTGCACACAGGTACAGGCAGGTGAGCACACCTGCACACAGGTACAGGCAGGTGAGCACACCTGCAGACAGGTACAGACAGGTGAGCACACCTGCAGACAGGTACAGACAGGTGTGTACAGGTACAGACAGGTGAACACAGGTGAGCAAAGGTGAGTACACTTGCAGAGACATGAATACACTTGCAGACAGTTGAGCACACCTGCACACAGGTGCACACAGGTGGATACAGGTGAACACACCTGCACACAGGTGCACACAGGTGGATACAGGTGAACACACCTGCACACAGGTGCACACAGGTGGATACAGGTGAACACACCTGCACACAGGTGCACACAGGTGGATACAGGTGAACACACCTGCACACAGGTGCACACAGGTGGATACAGGTGAACACACCTGCACACAGGTGCACACAGGTGGATACAGGTGAACACACCTGCACACAGGTACAGGCAGGTGAGCACACCTGCACACAGGTACAGACAGGTGAATACAGATGAGTACAGATGAATACACCTGCACACAGGTGAATACACCTGCACACAGGTACAGAAAGGTAAGTACAGGTGAGTACAGGTGAGTACACCTGCACACAGGTGTGTACAGGTACAGACAGGCATGTACAGGTATACACAGGTATACACAGGTGCACACAGGTGCACACAGGTGAGCACACCTGCACACAGGCACAGACAGGTGCGTACAGGTACACACAGGTGTGCACAGGTGAGCACACCTGCACACAGGTATACACAGGTACACACAGGTGAGTACAGGTGAGCACACCTGCACACAGGCACAGACAAGTGTGTACAGGTACATACAGGTACAGACAGGTACAGACAGGTACACACAGGTGAGCACACCTGCACACAGGTACACACAGGTGTGTACAGGCACACACAGGCACACACAGGTGTGTACGGGCACACACAGGCACACACAGGTGAGCACAGGTACACACAGGCACACACAGGTACACACAGGCACACACAGGTGTGTACAGGCACACACAGGTACACACAGGCACACACAGGTGCGTACAGGCACACACAGGTGCGTACAGGCACACACAGGTGCGCACAGGCACACACAGGTGAGCACAGCTGCACACAGGTACACACAGGTGCGCACAGGCACACACAGGTGAGCACAGCTGCACACAGGTACACACAGGTACACACAGGCACACACAGGTGTGTACAGGCACACACAGGTACACACAGGCACACACAGGTGCGTACAGGCACACACAGGTGCGTACAGGCACACACAGGTGCGCACAGGCACACACAGGTGAGCACAGCTGCACACAGGTACACACAGGTGCGCACAGGCACACACAGGTGAGCACAGCTGCACACAGGTACACACAGGTACACACAGGCACACACAGGTGTGTACAGGCACACACAGGTACACACAGGCACACACAGGTGCGTACAGGCACACACAGGTGCGTACAGGCACACACAGGTGCGCACAGGCACACACAGGTGAGCACAGCTGCACACAGGTACACACAGGTGCGCACAGGCACACACAGGTGAGCACAGCTGCACACAGGTACACACAGGTACACACAGGCACACACAGGTGTGTACAGGCACACACAGGTACACACAGGCACACACAGGTGCGTACAGGCACACACAGGTGCGCACAGGTACAGGTGCGCTCCCAGGGGCTGACCTCGCGGTGTCCGCGGGGGCTGGCGCTGTCCTCGAGCGGCCGCAGCGTGCAGGTGACCTCAGGTGGCAGCAGGTGATCGAAGGCGCACAGCCCCTGGCCCAGCTTCACGTAGAGACCCCCGTTGGACAGCGCCCCCCGCAGGAGGCGCTGCCCCGCCCGGCGGTGACACCCCGACATCGCCGACAGGTAACCCGGGCTGTCCTGGGACAGGTGAGACAGGTGAGACACAGGTGAGACACCCCGACACTGCCGACAGGTAACCCGGGCTGTCCTGGGACAGGTGAGACAGGTGAGACACAGGTGAGACACCCCGACACTGCCGACAGGTAACCCGGGCTGTCCTGGGACAGGTGAGACAGGTGAGACACAGGTGAGACACCCCGACACTGCCGACAGGTAACCCGGGCTGTCCTGGGACAGGTGAGACAGGTGAGACACAGGTGAGACACCCCGACACTGCC